TATATATATATATATATATATATATATATATATATATATATATATATATATACATATATATATATATTATTACCTAAATGATTTTTAGGGCTTAAAGTTGGTTCAAACTCAAATTAGCTCAAAAGATAAACAATTTGGTTTGCTGGTTATTGCTAATTGAACACGTCTATAGTGAAGAGTAAATGATATTGTTTTGAATCTTTATTATATTTGTATTTGAGGGGCCCTCTTTTTTCTTTTCGCCCCAAGCCACATATATGTTTGGACCGGTCCTGGTTAAAAATTATTATCTCAATGATAGATAGTGTCATTGTCGTTGCGTGCAAAGTGGCAAAGCACGAGAATGCATGCATAGAAAATCAACATGTGTTTATACCTTTTGTCTTTGATACCTTTGGTTTTCTCGCACCAGAGGCGGTGGAGCTCCTCAACAGAGTCCAACGGGTCATGCATTCTAATGTTATATCTCCTAGATCCACAGATGTTTTCAAAAGAATTAGTTTTGCCATCCAGAAATGGCTAGCGGCGCAGCTTGTTGCTCGTTTGCCTTCCGTCGATATGTATTGACTTTTTTTTATTTGGTTTGTTATATCAAAATCATACAAAAAAATTCCTAAGATAAAAAATATTAAAAAAAAAGCTACTAGATCAACAACATGATCAAATTGATCTTTAACCCTTGTTGCTTGAGATCAACGAACAGGAAGGAGAGGGAATATACATGGGAGACACTGATATCCAAGTTTTATCTATGAAAGTTAAAAAAATATTTAAGAATTTTTGTATTAAAAATCTTTAAAAACCATTACCATATAAAAATGTAACATCACAAAAATTTCAACAATTTTAAACCTTCCAAAACAACGCGTTTTCTAAAGAAGTGTTTACAAAACCATTGTTCCCAAAATATTATTTAAAATCAACTCACTTTCGACATAGTTTTCAAAACATTCACGTTATCAGAGTTTCCCAGAAATCATAAGTCCAAAACGTGAGGATGTGTACGGTCACGCCTTCACCTTGACACGATCCACTGAAATACCTGAAACCATAAACCAAAATTGTAAGCACGAAGCTTAGTAAGTTTCCCCCAAAATACCAACACATAACATATAGCATATACAACAAACAGTATGCATACAGAGCCTTCAGCATGTCTAGACCGCCTCACCTGGCCTTAAGCCTGTCCGGACCGCTCACAGAACCTTCAACATGTTTGGACCGCCTCATTGGGCCTTCAGCCTGTCTGGACCGTTCTCCGGGCCTTCGGCCTGACTGGTCCGCCTCACAGGCCTTCAGCCTATCAGATCTGCCTTGGGTCTGTTGGCCTTCAGCACAAAGCAGGATCGCCTCAACCCAACCACACACACAAACCATGTCGACATATACATAACAGATAAGCATACATGTAATGTACCGATATAAACATTATTGGGTTTGTTCACTGGAAACACAAAGTAGTACAGTCTCAACCCAACCACACTACATCAACACATGCGACTGGTGAACATACAACCAGAACAGATAACAGGAAGATCTAACAGATCACTAAGCATAGCATCATCTTATCTACCATGATACAGATCTAACAGATCACCACATTATTTAATCATACGATAAACTAGAATAACAATCCAAAGGGTCGGCATTGGTGCCTTCGACCCGAACATGCAGTGAGGAGAACTCACCTCATAATGTTGAACCATACTGAAAACCTCCGGTTGCTGGCTCATGAAAATCTCGAACTATCACAACAAAACAAACATCCAATTAACAATTGGATTACCATCCTTGACTAATGACCCATACTTAGGGTAAATGTCCATTTTACCCTTTCCCTAATTGGGCCAAGACCTAAGCCTAATTCTTGATCCAAAAGGCCCAAATTACCTCAAGGTCTATAATTGGCCTAATTTTCCAAATTGGGCCCAAACTCCTTAGTGGGCCTTATCCAAAGATCCAATCCTCTAGTTAGACCAAAACACACCTACTCAGATAGTCCATTAGGGCCCAAGCATCAAAACCCAAACAGATGGCCCAATCCCGAAGCCCAAAGTCTGAAACCCAAATAGAGGCGTACACGAGGCGTACCCCTTTAGTACGTTGGGCGTACCTTGCCTCGCATTGACCACCTACGGGGTGGTTGACTCAGTATGTGGGGCGTACGCTGCAGTACGCAGGGCGTACCCTCGCAGGGCTTAAAACTTCCATAAGTGCTTAATGGATTAAGTACTTAAGCTCAAACTTCAGATCCATGACTCAAAAGCACTCTATGTCACACCCCCGGCCGAGGTAGAACATGTCGGGAGTTCGACTAAGTTCATGGATCACAGATAAACAGAATATATAGCACAAGTACAACGATAAACAAAACAACATTTGTATTCCATTATTAAGTTTGAATACAGGGTTCTTATAGATAATAATAGTACACTAGTTGCCTTAAACAGGTAAGTAGATAACAAAAACTAGATAGATAGGTCGTCTGTATTCCAAGACCAATCTTCTGTCTGAACGCTTGTCTAATGATTTCCTGAGAATACATGTAAGTTTAACATCCCAATTTTCAAGACCAAAAATTTTGTTTTTAATTAAGTAACTTATAAAACAGTTTACTGAAAAACATCATCGATTTATATCATTTCATAAAACCATAGTCACGTGTCTCAAAACCATGTAATAAAATAGTAATAATGTCAGAGTACAATCCCAAGAATCTCATAATGCGGAAATCATGTGTGTGTGATGCGCTACTACCGTGTCGGCTCCTTCCCCTTCGAAGAAGAAGTACCTGAAAACAAAACTAAAAACTGTAAGCACAAAGCTTAGTGAGTTCCCCCATCATACCACATACCATACATAACACATACTGTCTAACACATCTAGGTACTGACTACCCCTTCGGTCTCTTTCAACCGGTAACTTGCCTAGTATATCAGGGTACTGGCCTACCCCTTCGGTCCTGTCAACCGGTACCTAGCCTAGAATATTAGGGTGCTGGCCTACCCCTTCGGTCCTGTCAACCGGTACCTAGCCTAGAATATTAGGGTGCTGGCCTACCCCGTCGGTCATGTCGACCGGTATCGGGGACTATGTAACATCCTGTTTCGGATCATCTGAGATTAGGGTTTGTGGGTTGCAACCCGGGCATGAGGAAGTCTTGGGGTTGCGACGAGTTGCTGGAAGCATAGAGCATCTCGACACCTTTCCGAGGATATGAGGTTCATTTGAAACGAAGTTATATCGAGGAAGCAATGGAAGTTTGAAGTTATGGCGGGATAAGTCCTTTAATTGAAAAAGGTGGCAGCGGAGTACGCAGGGCGTACATGTGTGTACGCTTAGCGTACTCATGTACGTGACTTTTAAGCGGAGCCACCTAGTACGCTGGGCGTACTAGGCACAAAAGGTAAACCTTAATTGAGAGGAGTGTCCCTATATAAAGAATGAGATGGCCTCATTCCTGGCCACCATCCTCAGTCAATAAACCCTCTCAAACCCTAATCCTCGTTCTTGAGCTTATGTGTAACCATGGTGAGCTTTTAAGTGTTCTTGTGGGATTATTGGAGTAAAGAAGGAGCATGGAAGAGAATAGAGTTGAAGTCCAGGCTTTGGATCTGAGCTTTACTGTGGTTGGAGCATCATTTGAAGGTATAAAGCTCAAAGCTTTCCCATCCTTTTGTTTTGTGCATGATATGGTCCATTTTAGGGTTTTTGGTCCCAAAGCTTGAGGCTTTATGAGTTGTTGCACTCCAGAGCTTATTATCTGTCCTTTCAAGTGTCCCTAGTGGAGAGGATCCATAAAAATGAGGTCTTGAACGTGAGAATCAGCCCATGCATAAGATATGAGCATTTTGAGTTAAGAGAGAAAGGGTTTTGTGTGTTTATGACTTTATCAGCCATGCAAAGGCTTAAAGTCACTGACTTTTTGGAGTAAGAGATATTAGGGAGTCCAGATCTGAGAGATGGGCTAAGGTCTTAACGGGTTAAGACCAAGAAAAATGGAATA